CGAAGATGGGCATAAGGGGCAGGTTTCCCAAATAATACTTCGAAAGGCGTCTTACCAGTCGCAGTAGTTGGCAACCTGTTGATCAGATAAGCAGCAGTAACAATGCATTCTCCCCAAAAACGGAGAGGCAAACTAGCCTGGAAACGGAGTGCACGAGCAGTGTCGAGGAGATGACGGTGCTTCCGCTCAACAACTCCGTTTTGTTGAGGTGTGTCCGTGCAGGATGTCTGCAACAAAATACCCTCACGTTCATAGTAACTCTGCAAGAGCAAAGTGTTAAATTCATGGCCATTATCAGTTTGTATACGTTTGAGACTTTTCCCAAACTGTCGCCGAACCATCTGGGCAAACATCATCAAATAACGACCAACCTCGGATTTAAAACGAAGCAAATAAATCCAAACTCCACGACTGTAATCATCAACAATAGTCAAAAAATAATGGGCCCCCCCAAACGAAGCAGTCTTGTAACCTCCCCAAATATCAATGTGTATCAAATCAAAACAATGGCTTGTTCGAATCGAGCTAGCAGGAAAAGGCTGCCGAGTTTGCTTAGCTCTAGAACAAGAGTCACAAAACTTATTCGAAATAGTAGGAACATCTAAGAGGTCACGAAGCTGCTGCAGTTTCGCCAGAGAGGGATGGCCAAGCCGAGAATGCCATAAATCACTGGAAACCAATTGTTGCTGCGTTGCTGCACAAGTTGGAGCACGACCAACGCCAAACAATTGCAAGTAATAGAGACCACCACGCAACTCACCCTTCCCAATCAGTTTCTTGGAGAGTAAGTCCTGAATAATGCAGAAATCATCGAGCAAGATTAACGCAACGTGATTCTCCTTAGTGAGACGACTCACCGAAATCAGATTGCATTGAAATTCCGGAACGTGCAGAACACGTTCAAGTATAAAGCCAGGCTGCAGCTCAACACTACCAATGTGCGCAACAGGAATACTAGCACCGTTAGGTATGCGAACAGGCTGCCCATTTTCATGTTTAACCTTTATTCAACAAATGAGAATCATCCACGTCAATATGTTCATTGCACCCCGAGTCAATCAACCATTCAGTCTCAACAGAGAACATACCTGCTAGGTGAGCTGCGGGATCCTCCATACCCTTGGCAGGGTACCCAAAGAACTGTCGCACTTGTTCAAGCTGCTTTAATGAAAATCCGGTGACTGGGCTGTGTTCCTCCTTGTCATGTTCAGCTTGGGCCGCGCGTGGCTCGCGAGGACGTTCCCGAGATTGACCATTGCCCTGGGCACGTGGCCGACGCCGCTGCTGGCCTTCATTGGGAGCTTCACGTGCGTCCTTAGGTGGATACCCATGTAGCGCATAGCAATCTTCGCGAACGTGACCAAGCTTCTGACAATATCCACAGCAAGGCCGATCCTTTCCACCTCGCGTGCTTCCTCGATCAGCGGAGTTGCTGCGATCTCCTTCACTGCGAGCAGCAAAGGCAGCCGACTCAGAGGACGGCTTGCGATTCTGAGCTATGAGCCGCTGCTGTTCCTCGTTCACAGTGATGTTGAAGGCCTCTGCGAGGGTTGGCGTGGGCTTCATAGCTAGGACTTGTTTGCGGACAGCAGCAAAAGGGTCATCTAGACCCATCAAGAAATCAAACAGGCGAGAGCTCTCCACCTGTTGACGAATACGAAGAGATACTCCACATGTACAGAGACCACAAGTACAGCTAGGGGTCGGAGAGATAGCATTCGCTTCTTCCCATAGAGACCTGAGTTTCGTGTAGAACGCTAAGACGCTGTTCTTTTCTTGCTGAAGCAGGCTAATCATTCGACGTAGTTCATACGCCCGAGACGCGTTTCCTTGGCCGAACCGGTTGCGCAGGTCATCCCAAATATCTTTGGAATTTTCAGCAAATCGTATGCTACTACGAATCTCTTTGTTCATCGCTGTCTTCAGCCAGCCTTTGATCATTGCATCGCATCTAATCCATGCGCTGCGTTGTTCTCCATCTGTCGGCTTTGTCAATGAACCATCGACAAAAGCATATTTGTTCTTTGCTATCAACGAGTCCTTCATGTCAAGAACCCATTCGCCATAGTTTGTGGAAGTGAGGACGTCGCCGACCAGCATCTGATCAGGCCCATCCGAGTTATGGAGATTGTAAACAGGAGGAAGATGATCGTCTCCGTCTCCGCTGTCCTGTTTCCCGAAACGTGAATTGAAGGTGGAGGTGGCTGATTCGTCGCCAGCCATCTTCGAGCGTGATCGGTGCTGAACCTTAGTGCTCTGATACCATGAGAAATCGAGCAAAACAAACTATAAAAGCAACGAAGAACACGACGATTTAACGTGGTATCCCCGACAAGTCGGGACTAATCCACAGGAGAGTCTGAACCTCTCCAGCTACTGTTTGTTATTGCTCGTTAAGTACATGCGGCTACAAGCCGATTACATTGTTTATATAGCCCTTCATCTTTGTTTACTAGGGCTGTACAAGGAGACTTCTCCTTCCAGGGCACGCAAGCCGTGTTGGAGAAGGAATGCTGCGGCTTGGCCACTGTAACTGAAGTGGGCCGAGCTGGCCGCTCGTCTGTGCTGCTGGGCTTGGACTGAGTGCCAACTGTCAAGTCCAATAGTGCAAGTAATGCCTGTCGGTACGTTGTCATACTGCAGCCTTGCCTATCCAAGGACGGTATTGGAAGATAGATACGTAGAATCACTGTGAAGCTATCGGTTGCAGATCTACACCCCTACGTTGAGAGGAGCTTTCCCTAGCTAGTGATTGTCTCTCCTCTCATCCTCCCATTGATTATAGCCGCAATGAATGGACATATATTATTCATTATGTAATTCCATATCTGGTGGAGACAACTCCCGATTCGGTTTCCTTTCATTGGAGCCTTTGGCTACTTCTAGCCTATTGAATGGACATATACGTTCCATTTTGATCCAGACTTCTTTTCAGGCGAGTGCATCACTGCATTCGATATCTGACTCACGCCTTTCCGGCCACTTAATTATGAGGGGAATGGGGAGCATTGAATTTTTACTGCATTTGTTGTCTGACTCACGCCTTTCCGGCCACTTAATTATGAGGGGAATGGGGAGCATTGAATTTTTACGTGATCTCATCTACAACTTGAGCTTCTTCAAGTTTAATAGGAAGGAATGGGCAGCATTGAATTGAATGTCCTAGTGATCTAACCTCCAACTACAGATCACTACTGTCACTAATGTAAATAACTCTTATAAATGAAATTATTTTATCATATATAAGTAAAATAAGTAACTGGTTAAACCATCCTCATATGTATATGTGAATACAATGCAACATCTACGGTCGTAGTAAGGGCTGGCCCGTGTATTTGCTCCTCATTTATCGTCGTTGTGCGACACGTGTCAAAGCGCGCCGCTTCCCGATAATCCTTGGCATGTCAAGCTTTGTCCTCGCTCTTATCCTTAATTTTTTTCTTTTGTTATTATTTTATTTGCTGGCTTGAGATTATCCTTATCTCCATTAATCAAATTATTTTGTTACAGCTACTATCAGCTTAGGCTACACTTAAGCATTATTTGATGGGTAAATTAATTGATTGGGTCTAGATTTTGTTATTATTATTTTCTGTGCTCTTTTGATTGGGTTTGCTTGATTTTCATGCTTTAAATGGAAATATGAGGTGATATCGTTCTTGCCTATTTTGCCTTTATTCTTTTTTCCCTAGCTTGCTTTGGTGTTGGTGAGGGTGGTTTTATATATATATATATATATTTTGATCTTTTGATTCTTATATATTCACTCTAAAAAAACAATCTTTTGATTATTAGTGTTGCTTCTTATATGGTCGTTGCCCAATTGTTTGTGTTATCATTTCATAGGTGCTAATGATTTTAAGCTTTAATGTTTTTATGCGTTTTTAAGTATCAATTTTTTTGGCTTTGCTAACTACGTGGACCAACTATAAATTTAATGATCAAATTGGGGTATGCTTTTCGACCATTTCTTAAGCTTGAGCAGCAACTTTCAAGTGCTTATTCTCTTGTTACTTCATTTGGTTGTTTGGCCTCCTTTCGGGGTAGTGCGTTTGCTCTTTTTGTAGGTGGGCGGCTCTCAATGTCTGTGTGGGCTATACTGAATCCGTATCCTTAGTGATTTAATATCTATTGTGTTTTTTTTTTGGCTCCGTGCATATTTTTTTTGTTAGATTTGCAGGTATTTGCTGCATGGCGGTCACTTGACAGTAACAGGAGCTTGGTCCATCACTTCCACCCTGAAAAGGGTTGAAGCACATATTTGGACTCGGTTAATGTGTAGGTATATTAGGGCTGCCCATATCGTGGCAAAAAAGCTCTCTTATCGTTGGATTTTCCGACGTTTCTTCCTTATTTATCTTTGGTGATTTGACCTGCAAAGGTCTCGTACTTATATTTCGTATCTTCCTGTCTCCCACATTGTGGGATACCTTTGGGGGAAAAAAAAATCACACCTCTGCCCATAATCCCATATTTCCCTTATCAAGAAACAAACAAACTCTTCCTCGCCAAAAAAGAAAAACAAAACTCACTCGTGCTCTTACATACTTGAGCTATCGAATATATAGATAGGGACAAAACTTTCAAAGTTGTCCCGGCCATGGCGGCCACGTGTGAAATATAGAGCTGCCAGGCCATGCAGCAGGTCCATTTACTGACAATTTGGTCACTTAATTATCGACTTGTTTGGTTGCTATCTATAACTATCTATTTTGGACTTGCATGATCTTTGGAAAAGAAGACAGCTGGATTGAGCGCACATCTGGCATACATGCACTACTTGCCACGTGGCATGACGTAGAGGAACGTTAAGGAACGGAGAGAGACATTTCCCGGAGTAGAATATATATATATTGAAGAAACTTAGAAAAGAAAAGGATGACATCCATCCATCCATCTCTTTCCCTTCATCTCTTCTTGCCCACTACGTACCAATAATTAAGCTTCTTTCTCTCTGTAAAGAGGATCACAGCCATCGCCTCCTTCAGTTTAATTTGAAAATGGACGACCTGCTACTCTCCTTCATCTTCCTAACCTGCGTCCTCTTGATCATTGCAACTACCACAGCATTCATCATCCTGCAACGTAGGCCGCTGATGAACAAATCCTACGTGGGCCCAAACCTACCCCCAGGCCCAGCAAAGCTACCCATCATCGGAAGCCTACACCGGATGCTGGGCCGCGGCCTGCCCCATCACCGCTTGAGGGATCTGGCCCGGGCATACGGCCCCCTGATGCACCTCCAGCTCGGCGAAATCTCCACCATCGTCGTCACCTCCTCCCAGCTGGCGAAAGAGTTCATGCAGACGCACGATCTCAACTTCGCCAGCAGGCCCTCCATACCATCCGCCAACGTCATATTCTACGACGGCAGGGACGTGGCCTTCGCAGCCTACGGCGCGTACTGGAAGCAGATGAGGAAGATCTTCGCCCAGGAGCTGCTCCTCCCCAGGCGCCAGGAGCGCGTGGACTCCATGCGCCTGGTCATGGAAGAGGAGGTGCGCCAGCTGGTGGGGTCCATCTCCCGACATCATCGTACCAAGAGTACTACTGCGCCGTTGAACCTGAGCCGGATGCTCGTTTCCCTGTCCACGGCCATCACCTACCGGACCGCTTTCGGCAAGTTCCCGTCTCAGCAGGACCAGGGAGCCTTTCTCGCCGCGCTCCAGCAGATACTTGTGGTGCTCGGCGGGTTCAGCCCCTGCGACGTCTTCCCTTCCAGCAAGCTGCTGCGCGTGGTTAGTGGGACCCAGGCCAAGCTCAAGAAGCTTCACAGAGAGACAGATGTCATCATGGAAGCCATAATCAACGACCATAAAGCGAAAAGGTTGCCCGGAAATTGTTGTGATGATCGTCGTAACCAAGATCTTGTTGATGTGCTCCTCAACTTCTCCCAGGACCATGCCCTTGGATTTCCCATCACCAACACCGAGATTAAAGCTGTCATCCTGGACATATTTCTCGCCGGAAGTGAAACAACCTCTGGAACGTTAAATTGGGCCATGTCGGAGTTGATGAGGAATCCTAGAGCAATGAAAAAAGCACAAATCGAGGTGAGAACATTGTCTGATGGCAAAGGAATAATCGATCAAGCAACTCTTGACGAGCTACAATACATGAAGCTAGTCGTGAAAGAAACTCTCCGATTGCATCACCCACCTTTAGCCGGTCCAAGAGAAGCCCGAGAAACCATGGTGATTGGTGGATATCAAATACCGGCCAAATCTAGGGTCGTAATTAATTCATGGGCCCTCGGTCGAGATCCTCGTTATTGGACAGAACCGGACAAATTTTACCCCGAGAGATTTCTTGATAGCCCAATCGATTATAAGGGATCAAATTTCGAACTAATACCGTTTGGAGCCGGAAGAAGAATTTGTCCCGGGTTGCAATTCGGTGTGACTCTTGTCAATCTAGCATTAGCAAATTTACTTTATCATTTTGATTGGAAACTCCCGGATGATATGAAGCCTCGGGACATGGACATGACCGAAGAATTCAGTCTTGCAAGCAAGAAGAAGAACAACTTATTTGTCGTTCCTGTTCCCTACTATCCCTAAAGCAGGTCAGGTCGAGGATTTCCTTATATGTGGAACATATATAATGTCATGCTTGACGGGGATTAATCTGATGTCCTTGGACGTGGATGGTAAAGGTTTCAGAGTAGCTATAAGCTATTCATATAAAAAGAGAGGGAATGCACCTTTCTTTTGTGAGAATAATTTTGCATGTGCAGAGCCAGGAGCTAAGGATGCCGTTGGCGCCATTTAGATGGAGACGCATTTTGAAATCCAATTTATGAAAGGGTGAGACCGGACACGGTTGCCTCTTAGATCGATCTTCAATTGATTAGACTGTGTGACACCTCAAATGAGAAATCCGTAGGATTCTCGTTATCGGTCAATTCGCATATTTGTCGTGTCAAAATTCAGGAGGTCGATCAACATATGGTTTTAACCCTGTCAAAGAAATTATCAATCTGTCAAACCAAGGGAGCACATGGTCTAGGCAATCATCTGCTCTCATTTTGTTACTAGTCAATTTACTACTTTTACTGTTCTAATTTAATTTCAATTTTGTTGATAATTTTTTATTTAAGTTCATTGTGATCGAGTGCTTCATTTGATTTTGAGTTTTCGAACATTAGAGACTCGAGTAAATACGATAAGAATACCCTTCATGATAGACCTAGGTAGGTTCTCTTAGAGATAAGCAACGTTGTGGATGAGTAAAACGGCGCTGCGAAGGAAGCTCGACAGCACCACAATACCGGAAACGATGTTGTTTGGTAAAAAACAATGTCGCGAGCCTGGGATACAAATTTATTCAACTTCGCGATGTTTGTGTTGTGGTTGAAGAAGGAGTGCTCTTTCCTTACCGGAGAAGGATGACACTCGGCCAAGGTCATACGCAACTACGACCTGGATATCGAAAAAGGGGAGAGAAAGGATGTTGTTTAGTGACAAGCAATGTCGCGGAGGTCAATGACATCGTCGAAATCCCAACAACACCGCGATACCGGCAAACAAAGTTGTTTAGACATGCCAAGCGGGCGAGTTTTGGCCATAATACCGAGAGCGATATTGTTTAATTGAAAACAATGTCGCGATGGCCAAGTTTTTGGAATGGCCGGCAGGTTTAATTAATGAATATTTTTAATGATTATTTTGGACGGTGGCGTTTAACTGAAAACGACACCGCGTGTAAGTCCAACAACGTCGCAATACTTGAAACGACACTGTTTAGTAGAAAGCAATGTCTTGCGTAGCTTTGTAGTGTTGGTGTTGGAGTTGGAAAAGGAGTGCTCTTTATTCCTTACCCAAGAAGGAGAGGATTTTGCAAAGGGGCCGAAAACAACACTGCTGGTGGCGTGACCAACATCGTAGTGAGGGAATAGAAACAATATTGTTTAGTAAAATAAAACAATGTCGCAAGAAGTCAAACCCCAACGGTACCGCTGTAATAAGAAACGACAGTGTTTATTAAAAACAATGTCGCGAGAAATTGCACATAAACGATGACGCGGTAGTAGAAAACATTTTCGTTTCATGGAGTACAATGCTGTGGTACCTGAAACGACATTGCTTAGTTATAAACAATGTTGTGGTGGCAAGAGTTCAGCGATGGCGTGTGTTTGGGGATGCTGCGGACTCGACATCGCTGTTTATTCTATGGACAAGGTTGTTTGGAGGATCGAACCGTGATGGAGAATTGTGGATTTTGGGTCAATGTCGTTTTGGCCAAGTTCCCACGTGACCAAATGGTTTCGCACTCGTGGGAGTTACGCAACAAAGTGAAAGTTACTGCACGGTTGAGAGGAAGGAAGAACGCGGGAGATAAAGACGGAGCGGAGCGGTTACTGCGACTACGGAAAGAAGATGAGGTATAAACATCAGAAGGAGAGAGAAGCTCGAGACGGCAACATCAAATCTCAAACTGCACATTGTTGCAGAATTATCTTTTTTCTCTCTAGTTACGTAGAAGCGCTCTGTCAAAGATCTCCTTTGCATAGTCGTAGATTGTAGTCTTTATCGTAGTCGTAGTCGCGGAGCTCTCCAGTGGAACCTCTATAGGAGTAGAGGTAACGTAACTTAGAACTCCTGATTTGGTTTCTGGTTATTCGTCGAACACCCTCATTCGAACGTAGTTTGAAGAGGTGGGGAACCGAGTAACGATCGTTTGATATTTTGTATTCTTGTGGTTCTTGAGAACAGAGCGCATTAAACACGCGTGTTTCGCAATCAAAACATCTCCATATCTCTCGAGATTGCAGCAATGAATATATAGTAGTAGCGTCCTCGTTTCGTCTCTTGCGGTGTGGCCGTACGAAAGAATAATATAACTAATCTTGAGTTGCTGAAACTCAAACCATGGACAAAAGATTCGTTTGGTTCGGCTATTAGTTTTGTCGAAAAGTCCGCAGAAGCAATTAATTTCGCTTTTAATCTTTGGTGCTCCTCTCATGTAACTTATAGGTGTCAAAACATGACCCGACCCGAGTAACCCGCCCAACCAACCCGATCCGCGACCCGCCCGCAACCCGATTGGACTAAAAGTCAAAGACCCGCAACCCGCCCGACCCGTAACCCGCTTGACCCGCAACCCGCTTGACCCGAACCCGATTGACCCGTAACCCGACTAACCCGAACCCGATTAACCCAACCCGAACCCGACCGATTGGCACGAATAATACTAGATAATATATTTTTGTGCATAAATATTATATGTAGATAATATATATATATATATATATATATATATATATATATATATATATATATATGGATACGACTCGTATGCTCCTGACGCATACTATGCTCCAGATCTTTCCACTGTTGATCTAATCTAACGGTCATTATAAATTATGATGAGCCAAAGGTCACATAGCCTGGTGGTAAGGGAGGAGGACTGGTGACCATAAGGTCCCAGGTTCGATCCTCACCGCCACCATGGTGTTCCCGGAGGCATCCCGCTATCACCCGGACCGCCGGCGGAGGTCCCGGGGTTTAGCCCGACTACGGCACCACAAAATGTGGTGACCGTGGAGGGTGTTCCTTGTTATAAAAAAAAAAAAATTATGATGAAATTAATAATAATAATTGCTACTTGCACCCCTTAAATAATTATATGTGCTATGAAATCCTCTAACAATAATTACCATAATATTTTCTCGTATGATACCTAATCTCGTAGAGTTCGGTTATTCAACACCCAAAATTTTCAAAATTGATATAAAATTTCTCCATTAAAATTTGGCTTGAATGGTTAATGAATCAAAACTTCATTGTCATCATCAAAGCAAACCCAATTACTACCCTTAAATCCATTGCGGCTTCATTCTCAAGGATGCCGATAAACACACGCTGATTGAATGCTCCGGCTTGGAGTTTGGGATTCCGGAGGACACGGATGAGTTGGAGCTGATCTCCATCAATTAGGGTAGAATTCTATCGTGGCGGCGGTAGGGTTTAATGTGTTTGACAATAAAAGGTACTGGTAATTCCTCCAATATCCAATTCCTCGAGAAGAGCCTCCGGAAGCTCGATTTCAGCACCACCGGAATCTGCACCATCGTTCAGATCAACAATCTGAAGAATTCCCCGTGTCTCTCAAGGGCGAGCTCCGGCAAGCTACCAATCAAGCCATTAGCATCCTCCAGGAAAACTACCCTGGATTCGTCGCCAGACAGGTGTTCATCAATGTGCCCTGGTGTACCTAGCATTCAACAAGATGATCAGTCCATTCCTGACCCCGAGGACCAAGAGCAAGTTTGTTTTTGCAGGGCCTTCCAAATCTGCTGAGACTCTATTCAAATACCTAACCCCAGGGTTGGAATTGGTTCCAAGACGAAACCGGGCAAAATTTAACCAGCGGACTAACGATATATTGTGAAAGATTTCCCTCTCTCTCTCCGGGCGCTCCATCTCTCCGGCGGCTGGGAGTGGGCGCTCGCCATTTCCTGTCGGTAGCAAATAACCCCAGCAGATTGGGAAGGCAAATCCATCTGACACAGTGCCCATTGTGCTCCAAACAAAAATAAAGACATTTTATTTGACGATGGCGATCATCGCAGATTGGTTGATTGGAACCTATAAACGTTCCTAGCCGATTGAATGAACTCAGGATGGTTCAATTTGATGTCTCTGCATAAGAGACTCTTGCTTGAGATGAGCCTTACTTTCGTTTATAATTTATTTTAATTGAGGAGCAGATGAGACGAACTTAGATGGAGATATCATAATCAACAATAAAATTTTTGGGTGATTAAACTATGTTTAAAAGAAATAAGGTACTTTAATATCAAACACAATGATAAAAATTGTCGGGGTACTATAATGCGTGAATGTAATTTTAATGGGTGAATTTCGTAGTTATCATTGTTAATTAATGATTAATTTTATTGCAATTAATAATGATCGTTAGATTAGATTAACGGTTTAGTCGTTTAGAGAACCTGTCACATGCTATGCGTCAGGAGCATACGAGTCTGACCCATATATATATATATATATATATATATAAAGATCAATCATTTATGCACAAAATACATATATGTTTATGAAGCTTATCACAACCCCACACTTAGCATTTGCTTGTCCCAAAGCAAAAGAGAGAAATAATTGAAAGAGAAGCAAATAAACATACCACTAAGACTCCTAGGACTCAAATAAAAGACACAGTAATCCTAAGACTCTTCTTTAGATGCTCGGCCATTTTCTGAATAAATTGATGTTGGATGTTGATTTGGTGTTGCTGCTGCTGGTACTTATGATCTTGTTGCTCCAGTTGTTGTTGTAGGTGAGCAATGATGTCCCCCGGGTGAGTGCCTTGTGGCGGGGTGCTTGTGGAGTGATTTGGATCAGCTTGGGGAGTCCTTGAAGATGCTCCTGAGGTGCTGGCAGCGGCTGCTAGGATTTCTATTGCATGGGCAGCAGCCAAATCATCTTCTTCTGTTGCCTCCTTGGTCGTTGTTTTCTTCGTTTTGGCTTTTGCTTTCTCTTCCTTGATTCTGTTGAACTCAGGTATCGATACATACCTTCCTCTTGATTTGATTCTTCTTATGTAGTTCATATTGGATAGAGTTCTTTCTTCGATTACTATGGTTCCCTCGCATTTGTCGATGCCGTTCGGATTCTTTGGAAATCTGCAACAAGTTTGGGCTATAGCAGTAATGATTCCTCCAAATCTGATGTTTCCCTTTGATCCTTTTGAAGCTTGCTCTCCAAGGAGAACTCCCAACCAATAGCCCAAGTTGAGTGGCTTCTTCGTGACACAACTGTAGAGGAAGCGGAGGTCGGTATTGTGTACACCGGGGTTGTCGGAACCACGACCCAAAGCTGTCCGACACAGGTATTCATGTACCAGCACCAAAGCAGGATCTCGAATGGTTTTTCTTCTTGTCTTCTGTGAGTAGAACTCTTTATCATCATCTGCAATTGTTCTCCAAAAAGCCTTTTCATCATAAGGAAGCTCAGGTTCTGTTGTTGCTGCCCCATCAAATAGCAAAGCCTTGTGTACTTGGCTCAAGGACAACTCAAATTGTTTGCCTCCCAAAGAAAACTGAAACTTGCTGTTGATTCCATCTTTATGAAAGAAAAATGTAGCTAGAAACGCCCTTGTCAATTATTCATAAGTAGGAAATCTCATCTCTTGGAATCTAGGCCATCCCATATTCTTGAAGTAATTCAGCACATTCTCCTCTATTCTAGTAATTTTCAGCACATCCAAATCCATAAATTGAGAGGGAATTACCTGCCGAGCAAGAAGAATCTTGTATTTCTCCATATGTTCAGGAGGAATGAGAGGTTTACCGAAGGTTGCTGAGACATCTACTCCACTGTTTGTTGCTGCCCATTTTGATTTTGTAGTAGTTTTGACCCTTTTTCTTCTCGATTGGGCTGTAGGCTGTGAGGGAGCTTGCCTCTTTGATGGTGACTTCTTGTTGTTGTCTTTAGCCTTCTGGTTTCTTTCCGGTTGAGGTGCATTGTTGCTGGAACGTGTTTGCTTCAATGGTGGCTCTCCCGGCTTGGTTTTGGCACTTTCCTTGGCTTGTGGTAGGGGTACATGACTGCTGCAGCTTTGGTGCTCAGATGGCAGCTCCATTGAATAGTCAAAAGCGTCGATTGTGGCTTGAACATAATCTCCCATCATCTGAAGTTTCGATCCTTCCGGTAGAGGCATAACAATAACTCTTTCCACTATGTTCTTCCCAATACTACCTCTAACAACCCTATGAAATGTGGAGGGAACTTCAACTCTGGCAACTTCTGGTCTAGGCTCTGGAACTGGACTGGTTTCAGAGAGAAGATCTAAGGAGTAAACCATATTCCATTTTCTGAATTCTGTCTTTCCATCAATGCTTCGATCAATCACTTGAAAATGGCCGACTCCAGCCCTTTTCTTCCTCACCATGGCTGCTTCCTAAAGTTATTTCCTCCAAATATAGAGCAGAACCAAGCTGTCTTCTTCTTTGATCAAACTTTGTACTTCACCATAGCTTGCAACAAGCAATATGCTGCATTCTAATCAATTATTGACGAACCCATGAGCACTAGAGTCATTTCGAGTTGATGGAGAAGGATTTCTGTCAATTTGATGAGCAGAATTTGGGTTTTAGAAAACCCTAGAAATTGGGCAAAAGTGATGGAGAAGGAGGAATGAGGAGTATTGGTTGTGTTGATAGAGAGGGTGGGTCACGAAATTGATGGATGGACTGAAGTTTGGCATTAATTTGGAAATTTTTGTGTGATTTTTGGAACAACAGCAGAAGAACGAAGGAGAGGGAGAAGGAAGAAGAACGAACGAACGAAAAAAACAAACGAAGAGGGAGAAGAAGAAGGAGAAAAAATGGGGGAGGGGATCAACCGAAAGTTGCTTTTCTTTCTTCTTTTTTTCCGTGTTTCTGTTCTCTCTCTCTCTCTTTTTTTACTTCCGGATTTTTTTTTCCTTGCAGCCGAGACTCCAAAGTCTATTCTCTCGCCACTTCTTCTCTCTCTCTCTCTTTTTTTCGGAATTCTTTTTTTTTTTTTGGGTTATGATGCCGTGGACACCTCTTTGGGGGTTTTTTTTAACAAAAGAAAAGTGCTTCATGGTCCCTCCTTTCTTCTTCATTGCATTTTAGCTCTTCAAGTCCATTAGTGTTGCCTTCCACCCCACACTGCATTTCTCCATTGCAAAAAAACATTTCTCCACTGCACATTTCCATCAAAGCATTCTGCCAATGCACCTATAAAATTGAAAAAATACCTTCCTCAACGAATTTTGAGCTCAAGCTTTATGGAGATGCTTCAAACGTCCTAAAAAGTGAAATTATAAAAAAAATTGAAAGAAAAAAAACCTCGGGTTGCCTCCCAAGAAGCGCTTGTTTAACGTCATTAGCTCGACGTTGGAATGGCTTAGTTTAGGCGATAAAAGGAGATCTCCAGCAGGGAGGCTCCTTCTATGTATTGTTTGAGTCTCTGGCCATTCACCTTGAACACTCCATTGTCACCCAGAATCTTGATTGCGCCATGAGGGAAGACTTTGGTCACCGTGAACGGTCCGGACCACCTTGATTTCAACTTGCCCGGAAAGAGACGGAGACGAGAGTTGAAGAGTAATACCTTGTCGCCTTCATTGAATTCTCGCCTTACAATGTTTTGATCATGCCACCTATTCGTCTTCTCCTTATAGATTCGGGCATTCTCATAGGCGTTGAGGCGGATCTCATCTAGCTCATTCAATTGAAGGAGTCTCTTTTCTCCGGCTTGCTTCATATCATAATTCAACTTCTTGATGGCCCAATACGCCTTGTGTTCGAGCTCCACCGGTAAGTGACATGCTTTGCCAAACACTAGCCGATATGGAGACATGCCTAGTGGGGTTTTATAGGCAGTCCTATAGGCCCACAGAGCATCATCCAACTTCCTCGACCAATCCTTCCGAGAGGAGTTAACGGTGATCTCTAAGATGTGCTTCAACTCGCGGTTGGATACTTCAATTTGCCCGCTGGTTTGTGGATGGTATGGTGTCGCAATGCGGTGTTTGACCCCATATTTGGCCAAAAGTGTATTAAGCTCGCGACTTGTGAAATGAGTTCCTTCATCACTTATGACAACTCGTGGCGCTCCAAAACGGGTGAACAAGTTCTTTCTCATGAAGTTCACCACCGTCTTTGATTCATTGGTTGGTAATGTGGCTGCCTCCACCCACTTTGATACATAATCGACAGTGACGAGAATGTATTTGTTGTTGTAGGATGATGGGAAAGGACCCATGAAGTCTATACCCCATAGATCAAACATCTCCACCTCCAAGATTGATGTTTGTGGCATCTCCATCCTAGATGAGATATTACCCGTTCTTTGGCATCTATCACATGCAGCAACAAAGTTACGGGCATCATGAAATAAAGAAGGCCAATATAAACCCGACTGTAAGACTTTTGCTGCTGTCCTTTGAGGTCCGAAGTGACCTCCTATAGCTAAGCTATGACAAAAGTTGAGTACACTATAGACTTCATTCTCAGGAATGCAACGTCTTATCATAAGATCAGCACAATGCTTATACAAGAATGGATCATCCCATATGTAATTCTTTGAAATAGTGATCAATTTCTTGCGTTGTTGGTAAGAAGCTTCAGGAAGCTTACCTGTTGCGAGGTAGTTTGCAATATCAGCATACCAAGGGGCTCCCTTCGTTATTATTGAAAAGAGTTGCTCATCCGGGAATGAGTCATCGATATCCAAATTGTCAATTGGAAGTGATTTTGCTTCCAACCTTGAGAGATGGTCGGCTACCAAGTTTGCCGAGCCTTTCTTGT